ACCTTCTACTTGTTTCTTCTATCAAATATAATCTCCAGGAATAAATGTCTTAGCCTAAAAGAATTGTTTGGGTTTTTTTTATAGATTATTATTTCCTTTTGTACTTTGTGTTGGAATACTTGAGATAATACCACTTAGTAAAAATATAAAGAAATAATACTGAGTTTGGTCTTTTTTTAATACTAGTCCTGCAACTAACAGATAAGAATTATTGTTTGGTCAGACTGTTTTCATTCTTGTTTCTCTGCTGCTTTCCTAGGAAACCTAATAACAAAGAAGAAGCCAGCTCAGTAGAATTTCAGATGTGGCAATGGCATCTGCTGCAATCAGTTCAGTTCCTACCACTGCATCTCGTTTTGCTTTACTACAAGTCAAAAGCGATACTAATTCGGAACCTGGAAAAGGAAGAAGTGGCCGAGGTGCCAGTAAATCTCAGGCTTCAGGGGGAAGATCATCTATAAATGAGAAAAAAAGAAAGAAAAGAAGAAAAAAGAAAGAACAGCAGCAGAGTGAGGCCAATGAGGTAGAGGGATTATGTTTTCTGTAGTGGGTTAGGTTGTTATCTGATAAATAATTTTTGCTGTCCTTTACAAGTCATTGTTCTGGGTTTTTTATGAAAGAAATGCTACTTAGTCACAGATACTGCAATTTTTTTTCTTTGTTTTATTAAGGATTCTTTATATAAAAGTAGGATACTCCCTACTATACAAGTTGAAATTTTTAAATGAGAATAAATAGATAAGTTTTACTTTTTTGACACCACCATTTGAATAATTAATTTCTGATGAAGGGCATGACCTTTCTAAAAAGTGATTGCTAGGAAGCAACTTGTTTTCAGAGGTTTGTAGGTAGTCAGTTCTAGTTGCCTGCTTGGACAGCCAGCATGCTAAAATTCAAAGGTTCTTTCATGTTTTTTTTTCTTTTTAGGAGATAGCTAGACCTACCTACTCCATTTGAAGAGCTTTAAAATCTGGTTTCCTAAGTTGTAATTTTCAAGTTTATCCATCACTCCAGCCCTTTATAGTCTATTAAATCCAGAGCCTTTTTTTTTTTTTTTTTCCTCTGTGAATTATGGGGCAGAGTGAAGAACAGCAGTGGTTGTCTGACACTGGGATTCTTAAACCTCAGATGAAATGGAAATTAAGAAGTGAGACTGAAAGAATTGGTCCAAGAGTCTGGTAACTGGAATTCTAGATTGCTGTGTCTGACAGCTGATCGGAGATAATCTTTCTGCCTGAAACAGTACACATCTCTTATCAAATTTAGTATGTAAAACAAACAAAACCCCCAAACTCATCTTTTTTTTTTTTTTAGTACCTATTAAACTTAAAATCTTTGAAATTTTAGTAGTTGTAGTAATGCTAAGTGATTTATTTTCATCTTTGATGCTGTTCTTTTCATATTGAAGATTAAGTCTTCAATAAGCATACCTCAGTGTTTCTTTATGCCTGCCTTAGCACCATCAAAACTTTTAATGCCATCAAAATAATTGTGTGTATGCATAGCCATTTCATATATCTACAGAAATTCATTTGCATGGAAACGATACTTATTCCTGTGATGGCAGAGAGGCAAGTAAAGGCTGACTCGGTTTCTTCACCTCAGCCTGTACTTTGTCTGTGGCTATACTCCACTCAAATGATAACTCAGAATGGTCTGCACCAGTGTTCTTGGCAGCACTCTAATCTGAAGAAGGAAGCAGGGGTTGTAGTGCTGGTGCAGGCAGCAAGAAAGAAAACAGTGAAGCAAAAGGCAGTATGGCGAAGTACTGTTCGGAGGGGAAGGAAGACAATTCTGAAATATCTGTGTTATTGCCTGATTTTAAGTAACTTTAAGGTGAGCTGCCATTTTAAGATGGAGTCATGACACTTGATAAACACACATTAAGGACAACATGGGTGCTGTACTTTGTTTCTCTTTGTTTCATCTTTCATCTGATAATAGCTTCTTTCTCCCTTCTGGGAGCCTTTATTAAGGAAACCCCTCTCTCTGAATTGGTAACAGATTGTATTGTTACCTTTATTTTCACTCCAGGTAAGGACCAGAGTGTCAGTTAATGTTTAAACTTGAGCAGTAAATCTCTTTGAGCTGCTAAATTTGCAGGTTCCTTGTTCACTATAAAATTTTATAATTACGTAAGGTATTTTTAAGATGGTGCTGTTGTATCCATATTGTGCAGCGATTAAAAATAGCTCTTATTGCAGGTTCCTAAAATATGACCCATGTTAGATGGTTGACAAACTGTAAGGACTGTCTATGTTGTACTTTTTCTGTATGAACCTCTAGTTCCTGTTTGCCGATGCCAAATCTGTGTATACCACCTTTTCTTTGGCATTATATTTAATTTGGGTCAGTTGTGAGGACACAGTCATACCTGATGCAGCATGAAATCTGTTGGACACAGTTTCCTCTTCAGATTTGTTGAAATTATTTCAACAATCTATTAACAAAATAGATGTACTTTTTAATTTTCTAATTTATGTGGCTGTGGTGTTTCTGATCCACATTTTTCTGTCATTTTACCTTATGGTGTGTACCATAAACAATTAAACAAAAACATATCCCGAAATACAGAGTAAGGTAAAGCACATGCATATCTATTTGTCCATGTGTGTAATGCCTTTGTTAGTCCATTAAGACTGTTTCTGTATACTTGTCAACACTTTGATTAATGTTAAAAATAACTTTTTCAGCTCAGAAACCTTGCTTTTAAAAAGATTCCTCAGAAATCCTCACGTGGAGGCTATCTATCTCAGCATGAACAAAAACTGCATGCTGCAATGCAGAAGGACTCTCAGGAAGAAATTTGGCAGGAGTGGAGACACAGAGATGAGCAGGTACAGCTTACTGTATTTAGCTGTCATTGACTTTCCTGAAATCTGTTACTCCATGAAGTCAAATCTCATGGATAAAGAGAGATGGCAGGAGAGGTTTCTGTGGAAACTCATCCTCCAAATTACCAGACTGCCTGGCATTTTCCTTTTAAAGGATTGTCAACTTTTGTCTTAACTGTGGAGCTATTATGTAAATAGCATGGTCTTTCTTCAGCAAAGCTTTTATAAGGTTTGCTGTAAGACCTTTGCACATGGGTCTCAATTTCTTACAAGTATTAGGTGTACTCCAGAGCTTGCCTATTGTTGTGCACTCCCAGGATTTAAGCAAAGGAACCCACGGTTTCTAGATTTTTTGGTAGGTTTAAGTGGTAGTGAGCGTGTAGCTATCTGTCCTGAGACAATCAGGCTATGCAAAAAAACAGGGCTGAAAGTGCGTGGGAAACGATGGAAATGACTGACTTTGAGAATACTCAGGTCTGAAGCTCTCAGCTCCACTGCCACTTAGAAGTAGCGACCTTTGTATAGCCAGCTTCAAACATGCAGTCTTGCCCTGAATTGAATGACTGCTATGTAAGTAAATTATAATAGTGTTATTGTTGCACTAGAGAGTGCATAATGCAATTTTTGTGCAGTTGTTTAATAGTTATAACATTGTGGTAGTACCAATTCTTGATAATTATTTAGGAGCTTGTGTGCTAAATTAGCACTTTCAGACAGACACAGGTAAAAATCCCAAGTTCATCTTTCTTGTGAATGTACCTTGTTTTTGTGTGTTAGTTGTTCTCTTTTTTTGGTAGTTTGTTTTTTTAATCCCCATTTTCTCCTCTGTCATCGTGTTCATGTTGAGTTTTTCAGTGTGGTAGGCTACAAGGCCTGATTTTTGGTAGGTAACTATCCTTGTCAGATTGGATTCAACAGTTGTGGGTAAAAAAACAGTTCATTGATATTGGGGCAATTTCAGTCAATTTAATTTATCAAGTCATTATCAAGCAAGTTACTGATCAAGTTATCAAACATCTAATTGCTGATTCTGATACTGAAACAAACAGGTGTTTTATTTTGGCTCTACTGAACTGTTGCTGGTACTGGTCTTCTTGGTTCAGTCTTTCAACCTTCTATGGAGCAGGAGCTGGACTTCCCTGCACCTTCCTGTTTCCTATAACACAAGAAAAGAGCTATAC